GGTTTGTCTATGGAATGGGCTTGTCTAACACCCGAGTCACAAAAAAAAAGGGTAAGGTGATATTAGTTTTAACACCCAGTGAGAGATTTGATGAATCTTCAAAGAGTTCCAAAAAGAAATGCAAGATGAAGATAATTAGATGAATATTGAGAAACAAAAATTTAATTTGCAATCAGTTTAATAATAATTTAATTCGCTCATAGCTCTCATAACAAATGGCTAATGAATTAACATGAGTTAAAAAATTTAAATATCTTCAAGTAAATGAAAAGATTAATGTAACTTTAGACTTAGGTTACTACAAGTTATGAACTCATAAGATTGTTGTGTAGAAGGTGCAATGTGAGGAAATCAATCAACATGTATAAAACTAAATAAATTATAAAAATTCACCTTCATTACCTGTGTATCAATGTGCCCGTTTCTCAACGCACTTGGATAAACAGTTCAAAGACAAATGTTTTAACCGTTCATTGCAAAATAACTTCAAAACTTGCAGTGTGCAGAACAAGAGAATAAAAGTAACTCAAATGTTGGCCAAAAAAACATCTGTACAGAAACAAAACACAATTAGCCAAAAAGATTAAAAGAAATAAAAGAGAAAAACATCGTTACCTCAAACACATCAGCACAAGGGTGTCATGGTTTCCGTCCATAACACTTGCATCCAGCAGAGAGGGAGACAGCTCGAGCATAATTTCTTACCACCATCATGGATGTTTGGAACACAAATGACTCACCCATCATAAGGCAACTCTGAATTGGACAATTATGATCCAAATAAAAGAACATGTACTATCAGCAAATAATTTTGTCTACAGACATAAAGAGAAACAGTTTTACCTCAAACCTAAAGACATGTCAACACCAAAGTGGCCTGGTTTGCCTCAATAACTCAGTCTCCATACACAGAGACAATGAACGCAATTTCTGGCCATCTACATCTCTGATTCAAACATAAAATGTAAGAGGAGCTTTCCTCATTGGTTTGTACCTAACACTGCAATACAAAACACACATAAGACATGGCATTCCAAACAAAATAAAAAGAATTTTAAAAATTCTCTGAAGAGGGCACATACCACTGAAAAGCTGGCAGAGCTTTTTGGCTGAGCGGTAGCGAAGCCCTTGCCGTGTTTGGGCGCGCTGAAAAGTGACTGGTCGTGCGTCTGTCTGTCTGTCCCTCTGTTCGTACACGCTCACGTTTCTCAGCGACTACAACAGGTATAGTTTCCATACTTCGCATTTAACGTCGTCTTACTTTCCCCCAACACGAGTTTGTTTCAAATCATTGTTTAGTATCGTTTGAAATATTCAAAACATCTTTTTGAATCAGTTTATTAGCATGCTTAGGTTGGCAGCAGTTACCTACCAATTTCTCATACCTACGGCCGCGGCGCCGCGGCTCTGAAATACGGGACACAAGCAAATCAGCAAGTAAAACAAAATAAAGAGCAGAACGGTTTGGAAATGAGATCGGCCTTAGTTTTTCACCATTCGAGAATGATTGAAACCCTTTTGGAGTATCAACAAAGCGAAATATGGAGAATGGAAGTGAGAATGATTTACGTGTATCGTTCCCCTGTCCCCCCTCCCCCGTCTGAGGGGAATCTCCTTCAGGAGGTCAGTGCCCTATGACTAAGCATTGTAAAATGGATGTTTTTATTTTCACCTTTTGTTTTGTGTGCTTCATTTTCATAGTAGAGGAAATCAAGTAAGTGCATAAATAACATATGTTGAAAATAGCAGGTATACTTATTTTGGTAATTTGTCTTTTGTTTGACTCAAGTTATATTCTGTTGCAATGCTGCAAGCTGACCTAAGTGCAAAAGCACTAACATTTATTTATTGATAGGATCAATATATAGTTGTATATATATAATCCTATTAGAGTTTGAATATATAAATAGGGTCAATGAGACGACTCAGGTTTTGAGCGGTGAGTGACTTAACATGGGATTTCATGAGACGATTCCTTTAACTTCACCAAAGTTTGTATTCAATAACTGGTACTCAGTATTGGTTAAGGTTTAAGCTGACTCTCTTCACAATTTACTCTGAACTCAAGCCCAATGTTGCGAAAGATAAAATAGCTTAAGACATGAGTAAGATAAATTATGTTGGTGCATTACACCTTAAGTAGACTTGGCATTGGAGTCTATGTGACGATTCACTGGATTTGACAATAATTGGTCTCCGTCAACTGGTTCAGATCAGCCAACCCTAAACTGAGTCTCTTAATATTAACTGTGAGAACATATTCCAATCAATATTGTCAAATTGACTGGTTTACAATGAAAGAATGACAAAATGTTTCTTATATATTACTTATAAAATTGTGAATTCATTAGTTTAGAAAAAAGAGATATCGAATAGTGACCCAAGCATACGAGTAGCCAATTAAGCGATTCAATGCTGGCAATTGAATATTACTCGACTGAAGGATTCGCACTGGTGTGGCATCAGGGAATTGGTGACGACAGAGGGTGCTTCATGAAGACAAATAGGAATATGTATACAGTAATTGAGTCTAGATGGTTGTCTGCGGATTTCAGTGTACTAGTCACAAAAGATACATTTACTTCAATGCCAAACCTACACTCTCATCTAGAGCTATGCAATTTGGGGCGAAACTTTCCAAGTTGAGATTTATGCATTTCCCTGTGGTTTTCACTGCACTGACTTCAATTTTGACTTCTAAAATGTCCCCAGACCCAAAACTTAACCGATTATGGGTCAAATTTTTAAAATTGAATTGTACATTGATTCTTGCAGTTTTTTGAGTGCTGATTACGAAAACCACTTCCATTTTAACACCAGACCTATATTTTCATCCCATATTAGGTCATTTTGGACCAAAATTCTCAAGTTCAGTTTTATATTGTTTCCTGGAGTTTTTGGTGTGCTGAACTCGAAAATGACTTCCAAATTTTTCCCAGTCTCACACGTTACCAAATTTTGACCATTTTGGTCCAAAAATTTTTTAAAATTTAGTTTGACATTGATTCCAGCAGTTTTTGGGGTGCTGATATCGAAAATCACTTCCATTTTGACTCCAGACTTATATTTTTATCCAAAATGAGGTCATTTGGACCAAAATTTTCAAATCGAGTTTTATGTTGTTGCCTGGAGTTTTTGGTGTGCTGAACTCAAAAATGACTTCCAAATTTTTCCCAGACTCACGCTTTACCAAATTTTGACCAATTTTTGGGCCAAAAATTTTTAAATTGAGTTTGACGTTGATTCCAGCAGTTTTTGGGGTGCTGATATCGAAAAACACTTCCATTTTGACTCCAGACTTATATTTTTATCCAAAAATGAGGTCATTTTGGACCAAAATTTTCAAATCGAGTTTTATATTGTTTCCTGGAGTTTTTGGTGTGCTGAACTCAAAAATGACTTCCAAATTTTTCCCAGACTCACGCTTTACCAAATTTTGACCAATTTTGGTCCAAAATTTATAAATTGAGTTTGACGTTGATTCTAACAGATCTTTGTGTGCTTATAACGAAAATCACTTCCATTTATACCCCAGACTTACTTTTCACTTAATTTGAGCCCATGAGTTGCACATTTCGTCTACTCAAGCAAAGTCCGAAGTGCATCAACTATGTCAATTCGCATCGCTCAGCCACACTACGCGCGCAGACTAAACGGCGCGTACCCCTAGTACAAGTTGGTCTCAGGCAATACTGATAAAAAGAAAAGACACCGTCATGCCAACTTGGATTTAAAAGAAAAATGCAATGGAGCTAGGCTGCAACATATGATAATATGACGGCTCTGTTGAACAAAAAAACAAAGTACTGGCAGCAATATACGGAAACAAGAAAGCAGAGTGAAGTTGACAGACAATAGAAAAGTAGTTAACTTACATTGTAAACTTGAGTGAGCCTGAAGCACAGAATCCAATCATCAGGAAGTAAGTAAAAGATAAAGCAAAGGTGGATCTGGTAGCATCGTCAGATTACAGCCTTGGAGTGCAAGCGGCAACAACTCGTTTGCATGAAACCTGGTGACAAGAAAAACGAAGTTAAAAACTTTTAGAAACTAAATTGACGGGTCCTAACGTTATTGAGAAGTCACACAATGGAACGCAATGAAAATAAAAACACCAATACAAAGGGGTTATGGGTTAAACGCCGTACATTATAAATAACAGTGCAGCACAAGGTAATAAATTTTGATTCACGTGCGAACTCCCGGCAAGTCGTTCAGAGAAACGGCTCGGGCGACCACCAAAATGCTTAGAGGGCCTGTGCACATTTGTTCTGAACAACCACTGGTAAGACGCAACACTTGAGCATTGTAAACAAACACACACACACACATGCGCCCGTACGCCAGTCAGCT